AAGTGGCGCTGATCGTTGCGAGGCTCCCAAAGGAGCGCCCGTTAATTAGTTGCTCTCACCCGAATCCTAGCTGACTAGAGGATTCGAACTCGAGACCGCTTTTGTCGTGGGGAATGACTGTAACCACTTCGACTACCTCATCCCTTCTGACTAGTTACTCCATTTTCCGCCTCTTATTCTTTATGCAGTTCCCGGAATTTTCCATTTTTATCTCTTCTTGATATTTTTGTTTGGTTCTTTTCCTTCTCCTTTCCCTTTTCTTTAAATTTCTTTTTCAAAGAACGATGAACTTTTTCTCAAAATTGATGAACTTTTTTTATGTTGTGTGATTTTTTTCCGAAATCGATGAACTTTTTTCAAATTCGATGAATTTTTTTCAAAATTGACGATCTTTTTCAAATTTGATGAACTCTTTTCAAATTAGGTGATCTTTTTCAAATTTGATGAACTTTTTTCAAAATCAATGATTTTATTTTTTCGAAATCAATGATTTCCTTTTTCAAATTCGTGAAGTTTTTCCTAAATTTTTGAACTTATTTTCAAAATTGATGCAAAAACGGTATTAACTTTGTTTTGAAATCCATGAACTTTTTTTCAAGTCGATAAACGTTTCTTCAAAATCTGTGAACTTTTTTCAGAGTCGATGAACTTTTTTTTTCAAAATTTTATACTTTTTTGAAAATTGATGAATTTTCAATTTTAATGAACATTTTAAATAAATGAATTGTATCCTAATTCGTGATGTTTTTAAAATCTGTGAACATTCAAGTTTTGTTCACATTTCTTTTCAGAAGAAATCCCATTTTTCTAAATAGCGTGGGTAAGTTAATTCTTAAAGATTCCGGGTTTTAATATTTCGCGAGGGCTTAGTAGGTGGAGTGGTTAGCCAGCCATGCACTGAAGGTAACCGGCGCAGGTTCGATTCCTCAAGAGAGTGACGTTTTTTGGGGTTGTTTTTCAAGCATTTCCTATTTGGCGCCATAGGCGCCAGTTAAAGTGCATTTGTTAACTGGCCCTGTGGCGTCCGTAAATGGACCGGCCCATATAGGCGCCGGTTGATGATCTTTTTTTTTGAAAATTCCGTAAACTTCTTTTAGATTGATGAACTTTTTTGAATATTGATGAACTTTTTCGAAATTTAATGAACATTTGTCTTGAAAATGGATGAACTTTTTTCTATTTATGAACTTTTTTTCCAGTTCCATGAACTTTTTTCAATTCCTATGAACTTTTTTCAAATTGAATGAACTTTTGATAAATTGGATGAACATTTTTTTTCAATTCGAATGAACTTTTTTTCAAATTGATGAACTTTTGAAAAATTTATGAACCTTTTTTAAAGATATGAACATATTTTTTCAAATGGATGAACTTTTTTCTTTAAATCTGTAAACCTTTCTTCATTTCATATTTTTATTTTCGTAAAGAAAATTAAAAAAAACTTAGGGCAGCAAGCTAGTGGGCCGGCCCATGCTAGCAGCGCTGCAGGCGCCGGATCGTTAACGGGCGCCTGCAGGCGCTGTATAGGAGCTCCCTGTTTTTCACGCCATAAGTACAATTTTCACTGCCCTGCGTGTTTTATGGGCCGGCCCACTAGCGTGCTGCAGTGTAGGCGCCGGTTGCGTCTACGGACGCATAAGGCGCCGTATAGCGAAATCACTAATTAAGGAGTACTCCTTGCAGAGATTACTTCAACTTTTTCAGGTTGCGACAAGTGGTGCACTGCATGTGCGCCACTTATTGCAACCTGGGTGTTTTTTCTTTTTTCATAGATTCATTTATTCAAAACGTTTTATCTCTTAAAATGTGCGTCCAAATCTCGAATCGCTTTCGTCGTTGGATTCCTCGCGTCGAGATCTTCAAAATTAGATCCATGTTGATAGGTTTTGACGAACTATTTTTCACGAAAAAATCGGACGAAAAAACCCAACGAAAAAACCGAACCGGAAACACGGGTTTTTTCTCTTTTCGAAAGAGGCACGTCCGTGCCTCTGACGAAATCACAATCGTGCCTCTCGCGGAAGCAAAACCATGCCTCTCGTGAAAAAAAAAGAAAACAAGTTTTTTTTCCTTTTCGAAAGAGGCACGCCCGTGCCTCTCGCGAAAGCACAACCGTGCCTCTCGCGGAAGCAAAACTGTGCCTCTCGCGAAAGAATAAAAAACAGAAAACGCGTTTTTTCCCTTTTCGAAAGAGACACGCCCGTGCCTCTCGCAAAAGCACAACCGTGCGTCTCGCGGAAGCAAAACTGTGCCTCTCGCGAAAGAAAAAATAACAGAAAACATGTTTTTTTTACTTT